ATTATTTTTTTTTTTTTTTAAAACATAAGATAATTTAGATTTTTTGAATTTTTTTACAATAATAATACTGTCTTCTTTTTTCTTATAAGTTTCGTACATTTCAATCCATGGAATAATAATTTCACCACACGTGCTATTGGTGTGACACCACATGAACTCCAATCCACCAATTTGCTATAAGTCCATCAAATTTCAATTGTCAGTTTTCAAATTGAGAAACTATTTTTATTTGCTCAATTTTAAAAATGGTGGAATTATTATTATTATTATTTTTCTTTCACTTTACCCCTTATGTAATTGGTATACTGCATTACATACAATTTCTTGTACTATATATTAATTACCTAACTACTTGAAGAGCACTGAATTCACAATGTTACGTTTCTAATGGAAGAGGAATGTTCACTCTAGGAGTATAAATGTTGGTACTGACAATTAATTGAACAAAACAAAGGATGAAGACATCAAGTCAACATGATTGGGCTGAAAAAAGAAGAAGGTATAAATGCATATTACCTCCACAGTTAAGTTTTATTTTATTTTTGAAATAATTAAGTTGCATTTTCTTAAGACACACATGATGAATAATCAAACATATAATATATGTTAAATCATGTTAACATTTAATAAAAAAAATTTTAAAAAATAATAATTAATGGGTCCACGGGTTGACCCTGGCCATTTTCAACCCGTTTTGAACGGGTTGAATATGAGTCTTGACCCATGTTGACCCGCTCATTTTCAACCCAACCCAAACCCGGTCCAGCCCGCCCGTTTGCCACCCCTAGAATTTCCAAACGCCAACACCTTCGGTAACAGAGACAGGACGAGAGGATCAACCCCCACTCTCCTCTTTAAAGTGACACGAGATAACTCTCTTCCACTGTCTATGATGCTCTTTACTGAACCGCCATAACCACTTCCCCAATAAGGCCCTATTGAATGGGACTAACTCCCGAATGCCTAATCCGCCAAATTTCAAATGTTTGCAGACTTGCTCCCAATTGACAAGATGATACTTGAACTCCTCCCTTCTTCCACCCCAAAGAAAGTCTCTCTGAAATTTTTCGATCCATTCATCAATAGAGCATGGGATTAGAAACAGAGATAAGAAATAGGTGGGAAGAGACGAAAGGGTGCTCTTAATGAGAGTGATCTTTCCCCCCTTCGAAAGATGCTGTTTCTTCCATCCTACCAATCTTTTTTCATACCTATTAATCACCGGATCCCAACTCCCCACTTTCCTAGAGGAAACTCCCAAAGGTAATCCCAAATAAGGAAGTGGAAAATCACTCACTCCACACCCAAGAACTGCAGCTAAGGAGGAAATATCAGGAACATCCCCCACTGGGACAAGCACACTCTTTCCAACATTGATTTTAAGTCTGGATATTGCTTGGAAGCAAGCAAGAAAACACCTCAAGTATCTGAGTTGGGAAACATAAGCATTACAAAAAACCAAGGTATCATTCGCAAACAACAAATGGGATATCTCAATCTGATGAGCAACATCTCTACCGACTGTGAACCCCTTTATGAAACCCAGATCCTCCTCTCTCTTCATTAATCTGCTCAATCCCTCCATAACAATAAGGAATAAAAAAGACGATAAGGGATCTCCTTGTCTCAAACCACGCGAACTCAGAAAAAAACCAGTAGGAGATCCGTTCACAAGCACAGAGAATATGACTGACGAGATGCAAGATTCAATCCATTTTATCCATCTTTCCCCAAACCCCATCCTACGAAGCAAGTAAAGAAGAAACTTCCAATTAACATGATCATAGGCTTTCTCGATGTCAAGTTTGCATAAGACACCAGGAACTCCACTCTTCAATCTAGAATCAACGCATTCCCCTACCATGAGAACGAAATCCAAGATTTGCCTTCCACCAACAAAAGCATTCTGTGACTCTGAAATAATTCCATCCAAAACAGTTCGCATCTTAAAAACAAGGACCTTGGCAATGAGCTTATACATACATCCCACTAAGCTGATTGGCCGAAAGTCCTTCATGTCAGAGGCGTCGCCCTTCTTAGGTATAAGAGTAATGAAAGATGCATTCAAGGAATTCTCAAATGTGCCATGAGAATGAAAATCCTAAAAAGTGCCCATCACCTTATTGCGCACCACCTCCTAACTCTCCTTAAGAAACTGCATAGTAAATCCGTCCGCCCTGGAGCTTTATCCCCATTATAACTGGATAACGCCTTTAGAACTTCCTCTTCAGAGAAAAGAACTTCAAGCCTATCACTATCCAGTGTAGAAATAGCATCGAATTGCAAACCATTAAGTTTAGGTCTCCATCCCAAAGTCTCGGTATAGAGCTGCTGGTAAAAGGAAACAATTCCACCACGCACCTCATCTTCTCTCCACAGCTTTGAACCATTCACACGGATACGCCCGATGTGATTGTATCTTCTATGAGCGTTAGCAAGCCTGTAAAATTTTTTTGTATTGCGGTCGCCTTCTTTTAGCCACAAAGGCCGAGATTTCTAACGCCATGAAATCTCCTCCATAACAGCTAACTCGGCAAAAATTGTCTGACAAGATGCTCTTCTAGAGCGTAAAGACTCCGTATCCTGCCCCAGCTCATCAAGACGATCAGGTTCAGCAATATCAGCCAAAACTCTATTCTTCTTCCATTCAAGATTCTCAAACACCTCTTTATTCCACTTCTTAAGCTTAGATTTGAGAATCTGAAACTTCTTAGCAAGCACATAGCTAGCAGAGCCTGTAAACGTTGCCTTCCCCCACCAAGACTGGACTTTCCCTTGGAAATCCTCGGATCTCAACCGCATATTTTTGAAGCGAAATTGTGTGCGTCTAGATCTCATACCTCCACAATCAAGAACTAAAGGCACATGATCAGACGTGACCCTAACCAAAGCTGGCTGAGTAACATCTTGGAACTTCTTTTACCAATCCCTATAAATCAGGAATCTATCTAGCCCTGAAAGAGTGACTGGATCTCTGCCACTAGACCAAGTAAAAACTGCCCCTTCCAATGGAAGATCAATAAGGAAGTGACCATCAATGAAGTCAAAGAACTGGGTCATCTCCAAGGACCACCTACCCCCTGTGGATCTCTCGAATGGAGACCTAACAGAATTAAAGTCCCCGCCTAAGCACCAAGGCAACGACCCCAATTCCTTGACGCAATTGAGCTCTTCCCAAAAGATAGGTCTATCACAATCAATAACAGGTCCATAAACTTCAGAAAAGACCCAACTGAAATTATCATCATCCATCTGAAACACACATGACAAGGAAAAAAGCCCTTTCCAGAGGTTCGTTCTAGACAACCATTTACGATCCCACTTAATTAGAATTCCACCCGATGTGCCAGAGGCGTTTAACGCTTCCCATTCCACAAACCTTCCTCCCCAAAGACTTCTAACCACTTCATCAATAATAGAAGCCAACTTAGTTTCTTGCAAACATATAACATGGGCATTCCACTTCTTCAGAGCAGCCTTAACCACCCTTCTTTTGTCCGGATCATTCAAACCATGGACGTTCCAAGTAATAATTTGTATCTTCATTGAGAACCAAAAATGATCAATTCTCCTCCTCCCCGCTTCCCACTTCTGGTCTTTCCCCTTTCTTTATTTACCCCATCCTTCCCCTCGTAGTTGACATAGGAAATAACGTTCTTAACCTCATGTTTTGTTTTCCGATGTGATAAATGTTTTCTATTTTTAACAACTTTTGTACTTTTGTGGGTCTCTGTAATTTCGTTTCCTGCCACAATAGCATGAAGAATGGATTGAGTTCGATTGACATCACCCTCTGAAGAGACACCCAGAGCTTCACTAACCTCGCCAATATTATCAAACACCGAGTCCATACCGAAATCAGAAGCTGTCTCTAAACAGTCAGGGTGCACAGTTGCCAAGGGTTCCATTATGTTCACATCAGATTGATCAATATCCCTGGAAATAAGATCATGAGGACAGACCAGTTGAGAAGAAAACTGATCTTCATACTCCTTCCCCTCACTTTCTAGATCATTCTGGTACATATTTAACTGCATATCCATCTCAGTTCCAGGATCATCCGTAGCATCATGAGGATGATTCGCCTCAGTCTCGGAGGGTAGACCATTTAATCCTTTTAGAGCAACAAAGAGTTTAAGTTCGTTGAGCAAAGTCACAGTTAAGTCATTTGTCAACTTGAAATGAAGGTCCTGTCCTACACATACTGTCACCCCATTAGAGCAACCTACACTTCCGGACATGTTCTTTGAAGACAGTGACCCTTCATTCCGCGAGACAATGGCCCCCGAAAAACTCCTCTGTTGAGCCATGCAATCTTCCACACCACCACCGCCATTTCCTAACACTTCACACGAAGAAGGGGAAGAAATGGATCTCTGAGAATGAGAATCAGAACTCAAACCTGGAAAAGGAGAGCGTGCTACCCACTTCTGTTTATCATTGCGAGTCCATTGAGGACCCTGACGACCAACTGATGCACTCGGCTTTCTCCACTTTGCTTTCTCAGTTAAGGACCAGCGAGGTGTAGCTCGCTGTGACGAGGAAGAGGAGAGAGTTTGGGATTGGGCTTGACCCTGTGTTTGTCCTTTAACTGGTCCCAAAGATGGATCTAGGTCATTAAAAAAAGAAATGGACAAGGAGTTGGGTCCTTTACGAACCTGTCTTTTAGTGTGGACTATCCGAGGCCCATGATTAACCAAAGTCAAAACAGGCTTGGGCTTGTTCTTGAGCCCATTCTTAGACCCATAATGACTTAAAGCTTTAGCCGACCTTCCTTCAACACTCGTTGAGCCTCTGCTTGAGAAGGAAACCTAAAGAGAAGCAGCGAATCGGATAAGGGAGTGACCCCCACTCCACAAGACGTGTTCCATGCTCGTGCCGCCCATTCCTCCACTCGATCACATCCCCCAACTTCTTTATCGAAACGACCGGCCAAGCAAGATGAAAGAACCGTTTTCCTCCTTTCGACGGACTTCCCGTCGATGTACAGTGACGGCCCTCGATGAGGAACTGCCGACTTCACATCCCCACAAAGTGAAATTCTTAGAATCTTTGCAATTTCTAAAAAGGATTTCATCTCAGACTAATGAAATCACGATCACCTTGAGATCGCCCCTAGTGACGTCATAATAAATTGTATTTCTATCTAAGCATTTGGATTAAATTGGAAATCAAATTATGAAAAAATGCAACAATCGATAAAAGTGTGGAAGAACAAATCAACAAAGACAGATAATATTGGAGGCAAGTATTACTAAGAATAATAAATGTTGTGAAAACTCTTACTAACTAAAAATTGTTTAGCATTCTGTGGAGACAATGAGAAGCTTTATGAAGAAAATAATGGAAACTTTTTAAACATAATGAAATAGCACATTCGTCGAATTCAAGATAAAGAAATTCATTATCATTGCCCTAGTGGGCCTAGTCACAAAATTCAAAATGAATTTATTCTTCGGATATCAGATGAAATCAAATGTGTAAATCATTAAAAGGGTTTTAGAAGCAAAATAATTTTCAGTTATTCTTGATTGTACTCCGGATGCAAGTCATGAAGAGAAAATGTCACTTATATTAAGATGTGCAAATGATTTAGCAAGTCCAATAAATGTAGAAGGGTTATTTTTAGGATTTTTAAAGGTGGATGATACATTAGGGTAAGGGTTTTTTGATGAACTCGTAGATGCTTAATTTGAAAGATCTTGAACTTGATATTGGTGATATAAGAGAACAAGGGTATGAATTTTCTATGGGCAGAACAATCATCTGTCCCTTTAAGTGCAGGAATTATCAAGAACTAATAAGAAAAAATTCGGAAGGAAGGAAAATTAATTTTTTTGGAAATTTTTTTAAATTTTTTTTTTTTTTTCTAAGAAGGAAAGAAAAGTTAAGGGTGTATTCTATGGATTGCGAGTGTTTGGTTTGTGATTTATTATATCCGATTTTGGGGTTGTTTGGTTTAGCTTATCCCATTCTTGGACAAAACGGGGTTTATTTTTTTTTTGTCCCAAACAAACAAAATTGTACCCAAATTGGACAGAATGGTCATTTTACATGGCTTGTATTTATACTTATTAATTTATTCTACTATATGAGGGTATTATTGTTATTTTAAGTCTTCAGGGACTATTTGCACCAAATCAATTGTATAAGGGTGTTATACACTAGACAGAACTATTTTGCACTATATCGATAATGGAGGAGTTTTTTTGCACTACACATTTTTAAATATTGGCATTTTTCATTGTTACATATTCCGTGTTATTGGAGCAAAATCATTATTAACCGGTTGATACAAAACTTAACCAATAGAATCAAATGCAGTGTACGTAAAATTAAAGTACTAACAATATAGTCTATGGAAGAACATAGAAATTTTGAATTACTAAATTATTATTCAATCAACCAAATAGGTTTGGTAATAACTACAAGATGTTATTTATTTTGAGCTTGAAAGCAGCACTGAAAAGGAAGGAAAAAAAAAACAGAAAGGGTTTACATATAACCACCATAAGACACATATATCTAATTATTTCCCTGACAAAATACCTTTCCAAAATTGTCCCGAACAAAGTAGAAGCAAGAAGTGACACACACCTCAATTAGATGAATCCATGCCCGCCTCCAGTAGGGATTGATGTAAAAAACAACAACAATCCCTAAGAACATAGTGATGTAGGACACTGTGAAGCACACATAGAAAGATTCCATGTCCATGAAGCCATAATTCACTTCACTGCTATTCATGATGACTCTCGGTGGTTCAATGGCGGTGCAAGTTCTTGAAACTGGTGGTCCACAAAGAAGTGGATTTCCGATGTAGCTACTGTTATCAAATGTATCGAACTGGGGAGAATTTGGACTCCGTGGTATGTTGCCCGATAGGTTATTGTATGACACATTGAACGAGGCTAGAAAGTTTAGCTCAGTAAGCTGTGGAGGGATTTTCCCACTCAAGTTGTTGAAGGAGAGGTCTAAGCTCTCTATGCTATCCAGGTCTGAAAACGTTGTTGGGATGGTTCCGCATAGGCCATTGTGAGACAAGTTAAGCGATTGGATTCCGCCTAGGCTCCCAAATTTATGTGGTATGTGGCCAGTCAATTTGTTGCAGGAGAGATCAATTGCTGAAAAGAGTTGAAGATTGATTCCCTTGTAAAAACGGATCGTTCCTTTTATTGTGAACGTTATGTGTGTATTTGGACCATCATATTTACTTAAATCTTCAAATGGGTTGATTTTTGATGTCATTTTCAGATCGCCCAAGGGTAATGTTGTGAACTGTAAATATGGAAGTACTGTGGCAGTATACCACGGTATAGCATTCCGAGGTGATCCATGAAAACTGATGTCACTCAAACAAGGAGGAATACGACCAGAAAAGTTATTATCAGAAAGATCAATCAAACTCAAATTCGACAAGCGGCATAAATTGATAGGGATCTTGCCCTCAAAGCGATTATTTTTTAAGAGAAGACGGCTCAAACTAGAAAGGGTTCCAATCCAGTTCGGAATGTGACCAGTTAAGTTGTTATAGGAAAGATCTAAGGTCACTAATGAGCTCATGTTGTCAAATGCACATGGCAATGGTCCTTGCAGCCTATTTTTAGATAGAAGAACATGCATCATATCTGATTGGTTGAAGCACGAAGGTACAGTCCCAGTAATATTGTTCTCAGAGAGGTCAAGAATCCAAAGATCACCAATCTGACAAAATTCAGTTGGAATAGGACCTTGGAGATGATTATTGAACATAACAATCCCCAACAGTAGTGACATACTTCCCATCCACCCAGGTAGCTTGCCTGACAAATGATTATGGCTTATGTTGAACACCCACAAATTAGAACTGTTGGACAAGCTATTTGAGATCTCTGTAAAGTTATTGTGGTCCAGGTATAAAAACTCCAACATAGTCAAGTTACTTTTTCTTGGTAATATTGGGCCTTGCAAATTGTTATGTGAAAGTTTCAAGTATATCAAGGAGAAGCAACCCATGGCCAACTGGCCTGGTATTACATCGGAAAGTTGATTATAGGAAAAGTCCAGATACTCCAGAGCGGACAAATCACCTAATGAAGAAGGAATAGGACCTCCAAAGCCATTTTGAGACATATTTAAGAATTCTAAACTTGGAAAAGCCTTAACAATGTCCTTTGAAATATGGCCATGGAAGTAATTGTTGGAGATGTCCAGTGCTAGAAGCTGTGTCTTTGGAAGGAGTGGCAACTGAAAATGTCCAGTGAAAGAATTATCTGGTAAAAGAAGTGTAACCAACCTTGTATTGTTATCAAACAACCAATTTGGAAACTTCCCCTTGAAGTTTATCCGAGAGAGCTCAACTTTTTGGAGGTCGTTTTGGTAGTAGAGGAAGTTGGGAAAGGCTCCAGTAGTATTTTGGACATTGCCAAATTCACGATCAGATAAACGGATGCCAACTAGTTGAAAACTTGGGACTGCCAAGGTCTGATCAAACTCTGTGTCGACCACTAATTCATTGTTCAGGCTGTCAATGACCTTCAGTTTTGAGTGGTTGAAAAATGATCGAAAGGAGATTGGGATTTTGAAGTAATTGTGTGAAAGGGCAAGGTATTCAAGAGAGGTAAGATGAATAAGTGGAGATGATGCAATATTCCCAGTAAAATGATTGAAAGAGAGATCCAACAACCGAAGTGATGTCAAGTTTTCCATGCATCGAGGTAAGTCACCCTCTATTTTATTATCTTGCAGGTCAAGCTCCTGAAGATTCTTCAGTTCACAGAGCCCTAAACAATATTAAAATTAATTGATTGGAATTAACTTGGCTGAACTAACATGTTCATATACATGGCAACATAAAAGAACTTTTGTGTGTGTGTGTGTGTGTGTGTGTGTGTGTGTGTGTTTGAGATAGAGAGAGGAGGGCAGTTGTCTAATGTTTTATTCTATCTTTACCTGGAAAAGGTAAGGTGCCGGTCAGTCCACAACCTCGTAGTGACAGCACTTTAAGAGAAGTCATCACTTGAATGCTTGGTAGGAAGTCATTACTGAGAGTAGCATAATCCAAGTACAAGTTTTCCATATTCCTAAGCTTTTGCAACTCTGTAAACACGGAACATAAGGAGACGCTCCGGAGTGACAGAAATTCAAATCTATAAGATTTTAAAATAAGGAACATGCTGTAATGAGAGAATCGTGACTTTAAATTTACCTTTGCTATGAATTGTTATATTCCTCACTCGTATCATAGACAGTGTCTTCAGTGATGGAAGTCCTAGCAGAAATGACAGATCATTGTTTAACTGATTATAACTCAAATCAAGGATCTCTTTGAACCCTTCATAGGAAACAAAAACAAAATTATCTAGATTACTCAAACGATATATACGACAATAAATTAGGTATTTACCAGCGTTTTTTTTAAGACCGCTGGCAATTATCTACTTTAACCAGCGTTTGGTTAGAAAATGCTGGTAATTGCAAAATTTAGTGAAATTTTTTATTGCGGGAAAATTTGGCGCTCCAATATTATTTCGCTCTAATATTATTTCGCTCTATATTTGCTAACTTTACCATTTGTTTCTAACTTTACCATTTTGCTAACTATTGAAGCCTTCGACCATGAATCTGTTCTGGCCGTCTCTCATCTGCTCTATCTCCATTTCTCAGCTGCAAGAGCCGTTCTCCTTTACTCTGTCTGTTTCAGCCCTAATCGGGCCCCCTTTCTTATATCGAAGCCTTCACAACGTTTTTCTCTCCTCTACTCTCTCTCTTTCTTCCAACAGTCTTCGACCATGAATCTGTTCGTCGAATAAAGAGACAGGGAGAGAAAGGCATATCACAAACTCTCTCTTCGCTGATCTCCATATATCTGCAGGGTTAGTATTTTAATCGTTTTTTTTTTCTTTCTAAATCTATACATATATGTGTGTGTGTTTTTGTGTATTGATCTGTTGTTTAATCGATTCCTGATTTTTTTTTTTCATTTGATGAATACATGACTTATCTATGCGATTTTGATGTTAGAGTTGGGCCAGAGGAGTTCAATTTTTGAAGAGGATGCCTACGAACAGGCTAGGGATTTCAATTTTGTTGATGTATTTATGAAATTAGAGTTGGGGCTTTGATGTGTAGTAAAAAATTGGGGTTAGGGTGGGGTGGCGACGCCGGTGAACCAGGTGTGGCAAGGCATGAGTTTCAGTGAAGCTCTAGTCTTCCGGCAAGGTATGAGTTTCAGACAGAGCAACGGTGGCACCGGAGGAGGAGACTCGAGGATTAAGAAGAGAAATGTAAGATTCTTCTACCTATTTCTATTTTTGTTGGTCTAAGTTACGATTTTTAGATCTTTTTCATTTTCTGTGCGGTTTCAGTCTAGCATATTTTATTTTATTTTAGTATTTATTAATTTATTTTTTTATCGATAACATTTATACAAATTTCGCTAAAATATATATATGTGTATGTATATATGTATCATTTTCTGTGCATATCAGCCTTGCTGATGTCGGAGGAGAAGTCCAGAATTGCCACCGCCATACATCCCAGCCCTACACACCTCAAAAGGCCTAGGGTGCGCGCTCTCTCTCTCAACACAACACTAACATCACCTAACTGTAGGAAAATATCACATGTTCACTGATTGATAAGTGAAACAGAATCGCAAATCAGGTAAGATTTTCTATCTTCTGAATTTTGGGTCTCATTCCAATTAATATTTATATGCAAAAGTGGGTCCAGAATTGGTTTGTTATCAACCCCAGAATTTTCTATTTTGTTATATTATTGCGAAATTCGTCACGGAGAAAATTAACATGCAGAATTTTTTTGTTTGATGGACTTGTTTTTTAAGATTCTTACGGAATTGCAGAGAGAGAGGAAAGAGATTCATTTGGTCTGGGATATTTGTGGGTTGCTGCATTAGAGTCTAGGTTTGTGTATATTGTTTTTTGAGGTACATGGTGGCGCTGGAACATGCAACTACAATTTGATACATCCCTCTTTGATATATATATATATATATATATATATATATATATATATATATTAGGGGTTTTAGGTTTATAATTCTATCAATTAATCCTTTGATTTAATTGGTTCCTTTTTCGGAATTTCTGTCTGCTTATCCATCAATTAATGTGTTTGCTTTTTTGGATATATATATGTGTGTATGTGTGGGTGTGTGTGATTCCCTTTTTCTCAGTTAAGTTGATCTTGCAATGACAAGGTTAATTTCTGGATTAATTTTGATGTGCTCTATCTTGATTTGATATTTAATTACTTTTGCTTTCATTTTGTTGCAACTGTGCTATTGTATATACATACAGACATCCATATTTCATATTTAATTACTTGTGTTTTATTTTTTGATTTTCTTTTCCCATCTGTTAAAAGGGATATATTTATCTTGAATGGATGAATGTTTTTAGTGAGTGATTAAAGCCTTCTTCTCAGTCTAAACTGATCTTGCAATGAAAAGGTCAATTTGTGGTTAAATTTTGATGTGCTCTATATTGATTTCATATTTAATTACTTTTGCTTTTATTTCAGAAATTAAAATTTTAACTGATTAATTGTGTGTGTTGTTGTATATTTCTTCCTTTGTGCCTTTCGACCAAAAAAAAAATATATATATATATATATCTTCCTACGTTCTTTACATATTCAGCCAGTATTTTGCTCAAATCCAACTTGAAGCTAAGTTGGATTTCTGTCAGGGTCCATATGCTTGGAGTTCCATTGCAATTGCTATTAGTAGCTTGTGTATGAACTTTTAGTGGCTTATGTTAATCTGCCTAAAATAGAACTTCTGGTTTAATTTCAGGGAAGAGTTCTGATTTCAATTCTTGATGGAGGAGAAGGCTACTGCAATTCAACAAAGTAACAGGCTTTGTCAGGAACTGGTGAGGGATTCATATATGACTTCATTCTATACTATTTTATATTCTTCTTTATTATTTTTCTTATAATTACATCTTGCATTCATGAGTTTTTAAGCTGGAATACTTCTAATGTCCTTTCAACATGATATCTTTGTCTTCCCTGCCTCATGTCCAACTTATCTTTTTCAGTCTTTGGACAATGGTGAATATAACAATTGTTATCCTAGCCATGTTCAATATCACTTATATTACATAGGTATGGTTCTTGCAAATGCAATTATGTACAAAAAAAATTGTCATAATGTTGTATAAAATTAAACTGTTGATGCAAGATCATTTCAGAGCATAAAAATGCATTGTTCTGTTACAAACATTTTCAAATGGAACATATTTCAAAATGATGCACATGTTCTGTTGGTAAAATCATGGATTTTCAAGGATTACTTCTGACTCAAAACTTCTTAAGGCCACCTAGTGTAGCAAAGATGATAACAAATAAAAGAATCCATTTTAAAGTTTGCAAGATCTAAGAGTGAATTCACTCTGTTCAAATAATGTCTCTTGTGAAGAGTTGGCTGTGTAGTTAGTTTTCTTTATCACCTGTACTAAAAGAACTTGTGCTCACTTATAGTTTTAGGCTTTTGTGCTAAGTGAATACCAGATCTGCTCGGCAATCATATGACATTCATCCAAGTTGATAACTTGATATGATTTGAGGGGGTTGGTGTTACTCTCTTTTTTATTTTTATATATATATATTTTTTTTGAAAGTGATAAAAGTTGACCCAATATCACCTAATTATTTTCATTGTATTTATATCGATTAAGAATAAAGAATGAACAATTGTGTTCCAAGGTTATTCAGTGGAATGTGCTTTCCAAGTTGGGATAGTTTTCTAATACATCTCTCTTTGACATTGAGCACTAGTTATGTTCTTTTGAAATTAGTTCATTTCTTATTAGAAAATGGTCTTAAGATTTGTGGGTATGAGGTTCCAAACTATGTAGATAATTTCGGATGTTTGACCTCTTTCCTTGAATTTCCCTCAATTTCGGATTGGTAATGAATCAAAAAAAAAAGAAGAGGAGGAATACAACAAGGTTTAAGGATAGGATAAAATGTTATTCTTGCTTCAAAGCTTTGCTTCTGGTATATAATTTAATTGTTTGTTATACATTACTGTTTCGTTTGAACCATGATTTGAGGGGGTTGACGTTCTTCTGGATTCCTTCTATATATATATTTTTCTTTAATTTAGTTTTGGTAGTGAAAGAAGTTGACCCGATATCAACTATTTATTTTCATTGTATTAGTAGAGAATAAGAATAAAGAATGAACGTTGTGTACTAAGGTTACTCAGTGGAATGTGCTCTTCAAGTTAGGATAGATTTCTAATAACTCTGACATTGTTTGACCATAGGTTATGTTGTTTATATCTTTAAAATTCACTTTAAGCTACCTCCCCCATAGTGTATGTTTCTTCCTTTTAAATTAGTTCATTTCCTATTAGAAAATGGTCTTAGATTTGTTGGTATTAGTTTACAAACAAGGGGAATTTTATGTGTGTTTCTTTTGAGAGGTTTGTATGACCACACTCCACAAGTTCCAATTTTAGCAGACAAGTATTATGGACTTCTTCTGCTCTTTTAGCTTAAAACACTATGAACAGGTTCAGGAACTTCAGCTTTTGTGTATGTGTGTGTGTGTGTGTTTATATATATATATAGAAAAAGGCAGTGGCCGAATGCCCCGTGTCAACAGTTCAAGGAGATGAATGACTGTCATCGTGTAGGGACTGGGTAAGATAAGCCTTTCACCTCTTCCAGTGGTGGTGTTCAAAGAATTCTACCGTTGTTACCATTGTTGAAGAGAGGTCATACCACATTGGCCTAGTTTATTTTGTGATTGTGAAACAAATCCTTATGAAATGCTTGTACATTACTAGAATTAAATTCTGAGACACTATTAATTTCTTTTTCAAAATATTGTTTAAACCAAGTTTCTGTAATTATTACAAGTTACTGTCTTATTGATTATAATTTATATTATTTTATTATTATTTTTATTTTTATTTTTATTATTAACAAATGCAGGTGTTCACTACAGCATTATCTGTTACTAGCAATTTGGATGGTCTTTCCATATTGGTAGGTTAACTTGTGGTTGCCTAAATGTATTACACATTTGGATGGTAATTGTTTTTATATATAAACATGTTTTATAAATGGGTTTCTTTAGGGGAAAGGAAAAAACTAAAAGGAAAAAAAAAAAAAAAAAAAAAAAATGGGTAATCACCAGCGTTCATTAAATGAGCGGTGGTAAAAACTAAATTCCAGCGCTTATTAAAAGAGTGCTGGTAAAGGGTTAATACGAGCGCTCTTTAAAGAGCGCTGGTAAAGGCTTATCACTAGTGGTCATTGATGAACGCTAGGGAAACGCCTTTTTTTAGACTTTCACCAGCGTTTCTGAGCGCTGATGAAAGGCATAACTGGTGTAGTGATAGTTTGGCTTATCTTCCTCTCTAGTTAGTAACCCTGAGATATTTGTGATATTTGTCTGCTTGAACTGTTCGGGATGTAAACTTCTTTCTACTGAATGTTATTGTTGTTAGAAGCAGTGAAGAGGTTGCTTATTGGGATTCGGAGCATGTTACTTCTCTTTTCTAAAAAGGTCAGCCAACTCTGTTGCTCCTTCTCTAGTCCAAGTTCCTTTTCAGTTGAGGATTTATGGTACTGTAAATCTATAAGTACTCCCATTTTATCCTTAATAAATACAGCTTATTTATCAATATATATATATATATATATATATATATATATATATATATAAATTTTTTTTTAGATTCCTTTATTTATTTATTTATTTTGAGTAAATTACACAGATCTTCTTTATGGTTTGTCATAATTACAGGGACCTCTCTTGTGGTTTGGAAAATTACTTGAATCTCTCTTAAAAATGAAACTAATCTACACACCTCCCTTCCGTGAGGGTCAACGCGGGTCAATGACGATTTTTACTGATATAATGTATTTAATACAGTAAAATTCCTATATTATGGGTGGCAATTCGTGTTCATGGGTCGTGTTCGTTTCATATTGATGTAAGGGTATTATACTAAAGAGATAAATTCAAACCCAACCAATTTAATAATCGTATCAAGAATTTTTAATACAAACCCAATCCATTTATTAAACAGGTAAACGTGTTAACCCGTTTAATGACCTGTTTATTAAAATGAGACATTTAATATTTAATCAAATACTAAATAATAAAAAAATTGTTATAATTAACCCAAATATTCAAAATAAAAAGAAAAATCATCAGGCATAGACAATGTTTATGTTGAAATAACTTAACTATTCATAGTAATTGGGTTTAAACAATCAACATATTATATAGGTCATATTCACGATTGTAACATGTTGAGTTAAATGGGTCATAAATGGATTACACAAGTTGAACCCCTCAACCTTAACTCGACACGGTTAAGTAAATGGGTTAATCATGTCAACCCTTTTATGACCCAAACCCGTTTATGCTAAACTCAAACCCTTTTAACTCGTGTTGTGCTCTTGTCGTATTGTCATATCGCGTCGTAATTTGTCACCCCTTGTTACCCTTGGTTAAAGTATACATACATACATACATACACACACACACACACACACGCATGTATGACTGTATAAAATTAGATTATGTGTGTTGACTAAAATTATGGAAATTATGGGATTTTGGAAAGGATTGACAATGTATGGATACCAATCACCTCTAATTTTTGTACATAAATCAAGCATTTTTGGTAAGAACCTAATTTCCCATCAAGGATTATTCATGGAACAATGTTAGATCATAGTTTCTCTTCGGCGAGAACATATCAAACCAGTGAAAACCATAGCCGCCTCAATTGCGGTATTGAACATCCCAACCAAACCCTAGAACTTCTCTGGTTCGAGTCTTGAATATCTGCCGCGAATTCCCCCATAGTAGTCGCCAAACTCCCTTGGAATGCCTCTTCTACCCGCTATAAATTCTTTTCCTAAGCTCGATAACGGAGTTAAAGACATTTACTTCGAATGCCTCCCTCCCAAGGAATGAAGTCATATACCTTAAGATTTATAGGGAATCTAACACTTTTCTGTCATTCATTGCTATAGGCATCACTAGCGGCCGATTATTTCCCCAAATCCTAATAACTCAACCTTCATCAACGGCGACGGAATTGATATGCTCAACGACCGCCGCCGATCACTAAAACTAGTTGGTTTATACGTCTTCGTATTCTCAATTTGTGGTTTGGCATTTATTATAACGACCTACTCCACTACTTGGTATGATATTGTCCGCTTTGGGCCTGAGCCTGCACGGTTTTGCTCTCGAGCTTTTATCCCAAAAGGCCTCGTACCAATTGGAGTGACACACCTACATATAAGCACTTCACCTTTCCCTTACCCAGGCGATGTGGGATTGTGCACCCGTAACTCGCCAGTGTGGTCGCCTGTCAGTGTCTCGCACCCGCCCACGGCACACTCGCCCACAGGGTTATCACAATCCATCCCCGTTGGAGACCCGACGTCCCCGCCAGCACACTTCCGGCTGGGTCAGGCTTTGATACCATTTGTAATAACTCATTCCATCACATGGTATGATATTGTCCACTTGGGCCTGAGCCTACATGGTATGATATTGTTCGCTTGGGCCTGAGCCTACATGATATGATATTGTCCGCTTAGGCCCGAGCCTACACGGTTTTACTCTTAGGGTTATACCTTAAAATGCCTTGTACTAATTGGAGTGACACACCTACATATAAGCATTTCACCTTTCCCTTACCCGAGCGATGTGGGATTGTGCACTCTTAGCTCGCCAGTGTGGTAGCCTGTTGGTGTCTCGCATCCGCCCATGGCACACCCGCCCACAGGGTTAGCACATCTATGGTTAAAGGGGGTGATGGTGGTGGTTGGCGGGGGTGATCAGTGGTGATTTGGAGAGGAGAGAGAAAGGAGTAAAGAAAGGAATTTTAGGCATCTTCTTATCGGATTTGCACCACTGACGCAAATGAAAAAAAAAAAAAAAACTGACCAACAGAGAGCACTCATCGGAACCAATCAACCCAAACAACTTCTCTGGCGATCTCGACATCATCGCTGAATGATAATTGATCCTCCTGTCGGATTCGCATGCCATCTTACTGTCATCGGCTCGTCACCAACCGCATTCACCGATTACTTTTCTCTAAGCCAGTAATCAAGCACCTTTGACATTACAACAGTCTCAAGAGAGAGTTAAGAAGTCATCATTGAGTGTAAGGTTAGTTATTTGAGGGTATTTTAGTAATTTAGATAGGTCCGTTAGTCTATTTAACGGTTCTTCATTAAGAGGGGAGGTCCGTGTACGATAGTTTTATTTTTAGGGGAGGTCCGAGTAATTTCTCAAACCACAGAAAAAGTCTCTGTAATTATGACAAATCATAGGAGAGGTCCGGGTAATTAAGAGTCTGCTTGGTTTGTAACTACGAAAACAATTTTCTATTCTCAGAAAATTGAAAATAGAAAACAATACAAAAATCTCTGATTTGGTTCAGTTTTCAGAAAACTCAGTTATAAAAATAATTATTTTCAGAGAACTATAAAAAATTATTCTCCGAGAACAATTTTCTATTATCTGAATGATATGCAGAAATAGTATTGTGACTGATCATCATATGAAGTAGCTTTTGTCTTGATATTTCAATTTACAACTACTTTTCATCGAAGACCCTTCATGCAATATATTGATGATAGCAGTTGTGACAAGTACCATATTTTATTTTTTTTTCTCCTTTTTCTTAGTTGGTATTCACACACACATGTCTTCACCGAGACTGAAACCCTTAACCTCCCTTTGAGAAGTAGGAGCCTAGTACAGCTAGGTTGCTGACCTGTTAATCTCTGTTATTATTTTTTGTACCTAAAATAATGTTCTATGATATCAAAGACCCAAAAATTTAATTATGGTGGATAACGGGTTTCTTTATTCAATTGGTTAATTAATGTATAATGGTGACTTGAGTTATCCTTTGTTTTCTTGGTCATACCTTCTTTGGCCACAATACTATCAAAACCATTAAAACTTATGTCCAGCTCCTTCAAGTTTTTCAGACCATCAAAATCTACACAAGGAATGAAAGTCACGGAATTAAAGTGCAGTAATCACAATAAACTGATCACCAAGGAAACGTGAAGTGTAATGTCCCTTTCAATTAAGATTGGAAAGAAATTTTACATCAAATTCACGTTGAATGTAAACTTGCCCAATCAAGTAGTTTCCTCTTAGTTTTAGGGCCTTGAGAGATGAAAGTCCATTTAGAGAAGACAGGATGCTGTTATTGAAGTGATTGAAACTCAAATCAAGGATCTGTAGATTGCTCAACCTTGATAGTTTTTCAAAACCTGCAAGAGAAGAAAAAAACAGAAAAAACAAGTAATTTGGCATATATGCATCTTAACTTAACTTTGTTCTGAAAAATCAATTGACAGAAAAAAGGAAAACAAAAAGAAAATGAAAGAAGTAAAGGAAACAATCCTTAAATGTAATCCTTCAATGGAATATCTTATCTTGTATACTATATATGAAGAGAGAAGTTAGGCAGACCTTCATTCTCAATACAGCCGTGTAAAACATTGTGATTTAAATCCAGGCTTATGAGTGATTCGAAGGGAAGAAACACTGAGGTGTTTAAATACCAAGCTCCTAACTCATAATTCCTTTCAGAATTAAGTGAAAGTTTGATGATGCGATGTGTGGTGGCATTGCATTCAACATCTTCCCATTCACAGCAATCTGTGATTTCTTCACCCTATAAATCATCCCATGATGACAAGGAAGAGCCATTTGGGTGGTTGATGGAAGCTTTGAGCTGCAAAAGAGCGATTCTTTCTTGATCCCAACACCCATAACACCCATTCACCAAAACCAACATCAACAATATTAGTAACCTCAATATTCGCTCCATATACTCCATTACTGAATGATTTGGAACACGATCTACTTCTACTATGCCTCGACTTCTTTCCAATGCTTAGAAATTGAATGGATTTGCGTTCAAGTAAGCGGCTCAATTATTGGGGTCCACCCATAAATGTAAAAGACCAAAAAAAAAAAAGTCTTTCTTAATTTTGTTCACAAAAATATAGCATTATTATTTACAAAATGTAAAGAATATGAAAGAAAATAAATTATTTTAATTAATTCACTATTATAACTTATTATTAAGGTGGAATTCAAATGTTTTATAATTTTTTTAATTAAAATATTAGGGTTATTTTTTATATTATAAAAGTGTCAATTTTTTTTTTTTTTTTTAATAGAATTTCGGACAACTATTTAATAATTAAAGTCAACCAAAAGGAAGGTTTGTTGGAAAAGAAAAGGTAAACTTGTGGTGGGAGAGAGAGCAAGACTAAAGGCAGCCATGGCGGTGGACGTCAAAATCTATCAGGAAGTGTTGACTAGAAAGTTTTCTTTTATTGTATTTATTTATTTTGAGAATGTACTTTCTTAATTTTGTTAAAAGAAAAAGATAGCATTCTTATTTAGAAAATGTAAAGCAAATGAACAAAAAAAAAATATATTTTTTAACTAATTTACTATTATACCGTAATGTTAAGGTGAGATTCAAATAATTTACAATTTTTTTCATTAATATGTTAAGGTTATTTTTGATATTATAAAAGTGTGACTTTTTTTTTTTAACTAGAATTTCATGTCAAGGGTAGTCAACTATAAAATAATTGAAGTCAGTTAAGAGGAAGGTTCGTACGAAAAGAAAAGACAAATGTGTGGAGGGAGAGAGAGCGAAACTAAAGGTAACTATGGGTATTGGATGTCAAAATCTATTACGAATTCTCCACTACGAGGATTTTTTTTCTTTTATTTATTATTATTATTATTTTTTGAAATTACCTGCTTTTCTTAATTTTATTCACAAAAAGATAGCATTCTTATTTAGAAAATGTAAAGAATACAAAAGAAAAGGCAAACCTGTGGAGGGAGAGAGAGAGTGAGACTAAAGGATCAATCATGTGCGGTGGAGGTTGGAGGTCATAATCTCTTACTAGAAGTCTTGACTATGTTCCAATATTTTATAATTTTTTTTATTAAAATATTAAGATTGTTTTTGATATTATAAAAGTGTTACTTAAGTCGTTATTATTTGCTTTCAGATTTTTTCTACCATCATCATCAAACCAAACATATTCATTGTCGAGAAGAAAAATAATAATAATACTATCTCTTCCTTTCTCTCCTATTCATTTCTTTTTTTTTTCAATTCCATCAATCCAACAAAGTGAAACTGTTTTTGATGAATAATACTTTATTTTTTATAAACTGCAGATTTTAATGAAATCTATGCTCATCGCCGATATGCTATATGTCCCACTACTAACAAATTTTTTATCATGAAATAGATATATGAGGGGTAAATTTTTTATCTTTGAAGGCAAAGCAAATGAGTTTTATAAGGAGAAAATAATATACAGAAAACTAGGCCGAAAACAAAAGAACCCGGCTATAACAAAACCCAATCACAAGGCCCAACTCCCAAACCATAACTACCCCATCGAATTAAACCTCTCTCTCTATAGACTTAGTCATTGCACTCGATTTATTCATTTGATTGCAGAAAGTTGTAGGAAAAAAAGGCTGAATTAAGTTCTGTTCTCAGCAAAAAAGACAACCTTTTGTCAAGCTAGAAAGCACATACACTCCGCCTAGGAATGTTGTGGCGGTGTTGGACACTCACGTGTCTGGATATAGCTAGAAGTATTCAAAATTTTTTTTTTTTTTTTCGGACACGGCTGAACATTGACACAGCTATGACAAGTTTTGGACACTTTCAAGATACGGCGGCGGGTGATGATGTGATTTAATTTTTTTACTTCAAGATACGGCGGCGGGTGATGATGTAATTATTATTTTTTTAAAAAAAATAGGATTTAATGCAAATTAAATTATATTATGGGTTAATTAGAAAAACAATATAAAATTTAAGAAAGCAAAGATAATAAATATCTAATTTTAAACTCCAAATTAGTGACTTTATTCATGATTGTATGGATAAAATAACTAAAGATTAATTTTTTTATTATATATAATAATATATTATATTCTTATTTTTTATAAAGATGAGAGGCTCACACTAGCCAAGGTAGACTGTTCATAATGGAAAAAACTTATCAAAGCAGGATGTCCAATTAGACTGTTCAAAACAGCTGATTTACTCGCACCCTGACCAATTTGTGCACAACTAGAGAATATTTACCACGGACAGTAAAATAAGTATACAACTGATGTTTCAAGTAAAGAGAAACCAAAACAAAAATATAAATAAATAAATTGTGTTAAAAAACTTGTCCCCACATTGTCCATGTAAGTTTTTGGATAAATAATTTTGTGCACAATTAGAGATTAATTTTTTGGATTTAGCTTCCTTATACAGTATGTGAAGCATAACAAATTAATGAGCCACGAAGCAAGGGTTTGTATTATAGTATTATCAATATTTACACCATTAATAGCCTCTTAAATCAGTGGTAAAATGCTACGGCAATCAAGCATGAGAATGTAGGTCCGAATCCTAAGAACAACCATTTTGTGTATACCCCTCCAGCACCCTCGATTAACGGGGACTACATTAGGTAATGACCCTATAACCCTAGTAACCATCTTCAAATCTGGCTGCATGCCAAGACAAGTCATTGTTTACATCAACAAGAAGACACGGTGACAAATAAGTAATTTATCCATTTGACCCTCCAACCCTTCAGGGTGTTCTTCCACAAGCTTACACCAAGATTGTTAGAATCGAGATTCTACGTAGGATCGATGAGGGGTTCATAGGATTAAAATCATAGGATTGGATCGAGAATCGTAAGATTCTATTAAACTATTAGAAAAATAACTTAAACTAATTTTCTAAATCAAACATTTTCAATATAAATAGAGAATAAGGCTAAATAACCAATTCAGACCCACCAACAAAATTAATTAACATTAAAAGTATTAAGACACGTGACAAATATTAAATATTAGTTTCTTGATTTCAACAAAAAATCATCATAACAATCATGCAAAAACGTAAAGAAGAAATTAAAGTAAAGCCTAGTATAGAGAGAAAAATACAATTTATTTGCCTAATTTTTTGAGCAATTTAATTGAAAATTTTAGTTTTTGGTTAAAAAAAAGAACAAAATGAGATAGAAAGAACAATGGAAAAAAAATTGAAGTCTTTCTTTATTTTTGTTTCAGAATTGACAAAGAATAGGTGAAAAAATAGAATTCTTTATGTTCATTGTACAGAAAAAGAAAGAAGAAAAGAGAAATTAAGAAGAACAGAAAAAAATAGAGGAAATTTTGGAAATTTTAAACGATACCTTTGAAATTCAGAAGAAAAGAGAAATTAAGAAGAACAAAAAAAATAGAGGAAATTTTGGAAATTTTAAATGATATCTTTGAAATTCAGAGTCTACATTTGATGTTTGTTTCTTTGTTTTTATTTTATTTTTTTAATGTAATTAGGCTAAATAATTGGATTTTATTTTTAAAATTATAAAATCCATTAGAATAATAAAATATGTGCTATCCAGAAAACATGTACTACATTTGACGGAGTACATTTTTTTTTTTTATGTCCAGAAAACAACACAAAAATAAACTGAACTTTGTTTTTAATGGATTTTATATTTATTATTCTAATGGATTTTATATTTAGACATGCTCGCTTTTGGCTAACTTCATTACGTGTCCTATGTCATATGTTATTTTGGTACAAATATATTTGATGGAAGGTTCAATTGTCCGAAATGAATTTCCCAATTTTTCAACATCAAAATTCTAGTTGGCCATTATATATGACAAAAAAAAAAATTAAATTATGAAAACATTTTGACAGGGGCTTAACTATAACTCGAAATGAGACAAATAAAACCTTTGATATCTCGTTTAACTTTATATATCAAATTTGGTGCGATGAACAATAAATATATATATTAAAAAAATTCTTAAATGATATTTTTAAATTCACCATTTTTATATTTTTAAAACTTAAAAAAATTATTTCAAATTCACGATGCAAATACAACTAGATCAAAAGATCCATTCACCAAATCAAGAAATTCAACTACACAAGCATAACAATCAACAAATTCAATCAATTCAAATTTCAAACAAATAGCATTGGTTCATATCAAGCTCACCGTATTGCCGAGAGCAACAATGTTAAGGAACGTGGAAGGTCGCCTCGAAGAATGCTCGTCCATGTCTTCATCGGCAAGCAAAGCAGTTGCTTGTCGCATCGAATCGGAAAGTTTGGCCAATTCTTCGATCGCTTCCATTGATTCGCTTAATCAACGAATCAAACGGAGAGAGAGAATTCTGATCGAAACCAAAAACAGATCGAAGAAGAGAGAAATAGAAGGAGAGCACAAGTTGAACTCCAGATTAAAGAGAGATTTGGAAATGAAATAACTGTTGGGTTTATTTCCTTCTATATGGAGGAAAGCCCAAGTGGGTTTTATTAAAAGCCCAAAGCTCAGCCTTTAGGGAAAAGAAAACCCTAAGGAAGTTAGTATAAAAAGAGAGAGAGGTTAGCCGCAAGTGAAAGAACAAAGAGAAGAAAAACGCAGGTTTTTCCATTCTGCCCAGGTTTGATCAAACGTCCGATCCTGCTTCGTCCGTGGTCCGATCAAGCTGAAATTTAGAGGAGAGGTTCATGACTCAGTGACGCACAATCTGAACGGTGGAGATTAGATTTTGAGCTCGGGAACAGTGATTCGTGCCCGTAAACAGTAACTGGGTTTTGGTAGAAAAACGCAAGTTTTTCTATTATGCCCAGATTTCATCAAACGTTCGATCCTGCTTCGTCCGTGGTCCAATTGAGCTGAAATTTGGAGGAGAGGTTCACGACTCAATGAGTAAAAATCTGAACGGTGAAGATCGGATTTTGAGCTCGAGAACAGTGATTCGTCCCCGTGAATAGTAACCGGGTTTTGGTATTTTTCTCTCCAATTCTCTTTTTTTTTGCCAAGATTGTTGCTATCTTGATGAGATGTTTTGTAGTCTCTAATTGCGATTAGAGAAGACTTTGTGTACCCATTATTTGGTTGATAGTGGAGATTTTAACTGGACTAGGTCCCGTGATTTTTCTTCCTCACACTGGGAAGTTTTCCACGTAAAAAATTGCTTGTATTCTTGTGGCTTGGTGTGATTGATTTGTTCTCTATTATTTTTCAGCACATATAAAAGTAGAGATATACTATATTTGCTTATATATAGGGAGAAGAATTATTCTGCTGAGTTTGTTTATTGTCATCTCTCCCAACAAAGTGGTATCAAAGTTCTAGGTTGACAGATTGCCAGGTTGGCAGTTTGAGTTATGGAAGCAAATACGAGTAGAATGATTAATTTAAATGGTTCAAATTATCACATATGGAAAGGAAAAATGGAGGATCTTTTTTATGTGAAAGATTATTACATACCGGTGTTTAGTGCTGAAAAACCAGAAAACAAATCTGATGTGGAATGGACTTTGTTACATCGACAGGTGTGTGGGTATATCAGGCAGTGGGTAGATGATAATGTTTTGAACCATATTAGTGGAGAGACACATGCACGTTTTCTATGGAGTAAGCTTGAACAACTATATGCTAGACAGACTGGAAATAATAAATTGTTTCTGATTAAGCAGATGATGGCTTTGAGATACCAGGACGGGACTCCTTTATCTGATCACCTGAATACATTCCAAGGAATTATTAATTAGCTGGCTGGAATGGGTATTAAGTTTGATGATGAGATACAAGGGTTATGGTTGCTTGGTTTATTACCGGACTCGTGGGAGACGCTCAGAACTTCATTGTCTAACTCCACTCCAGAAGGTGCAATCACAATGGATATGGCCAAAAGTTGTTTGCTAAATGAAGAGATGAGAAGAAAAACACAGGGATCCTCTTCACAGTCAGAGATCTTGGTTACAAAAAAGAGGGGGAGAAGTAAGAGCAGATGTCCGAAGAACAGAGATAACAACAGAAGCAAGTCCAACAAGTTTGCAAATGTTGAGTGTTATCATTGCGGGAAAAAAGGACACATCAAGAAATATTGCAGGCAATTGAAGAAAGAAAACAAGAATGAGAAAGGGAAGGGAACGAAGAATGGAGATAACAAAAATGGTGATGACAGAGTTGCTACCACCACTCCTGCAGACTTCCTCATTGTTTATGATGATGAGATGATAAATGTTGCATACCATGAGACTAGTTGGGTGATTGACAGTGGTGCCTCCATTCATGCTACATCTCGGAAGGATTTCTTTACATCTTATAAATCTGGTGATTTTGGAATAGTAAAGATGGGCAACGATGGCTTGGTTAAAGTTATTGGAATTGGGGATGTGTACCTGAAGATGAATAATGGCACGAGGTTAGATGTGAAGCATATTCCTGACATTCGCTTGAATTTAATTTCTGCAGGTAAACTTGATGATGAAGGGTATTGCAACACTTTCAGTGATGGCCAGTGGAAGCTCACTAGGGGTGCTATGGTTGTGGCTCGAGGTATGAAGCACTCTGTACTGTACGTTCTGCAAACAAAGATCTCCAACGACATTGTTAATGCGATGGAGGATAATGATACAACAGAATTGTGGCACAAGAGACTGGCTCACATGAGTGAGATAGGATTAGCTCTACTAGGAAAGAAAAGTTTACTATGTGGACTGAAAAGTACACTTCTGAAAAGGTGTACTCATTGTTTGTCAGGGAAGCAGAGCAGAGTCTCCTTCAAGAATTCCTCTCATTCAAGAAAGTCAGAAATACTGGATTTGGTACATTCAGATGTGTGTGGCCTTATGAAGACGAGAACACTTGGTGGGTCTAGATACTTTGTGACCTTCATAGATGACTATTCAAGGAAGTTATGGGTATATACCTTGAATTCAAAAGACCAAGTGTTGGCAGCGTTCAAGCAATTCCAAGCCCTAGTTGAGAGACAGACTGGGAAGAAACTGAGATGTATTCATTCTGATAATGGCGGAGAGTATTCTGGTCCTTTTGATGAGTATTGTAGACAACAGGGTATCCGGCATCAAAAGACAACTCCAAAAACTCCTCAGTTGAATGGCGTAGCAGAAAGGATAAACAGGACACTGGTTGAGAGAGTGAGATGTTTGCTATCACAAGCCCAATTGCCAATTTTTTTTTGGGGGGAGGCATTGAGCACAGTTGTTCATGTGTTGAATCTTACACCCTGTGTTCCTCTACAGTTTGATGTGCCAGACCGAGTTTGGACAGGTAAGGATGTATCCTATAATCATTTGCGGGTTTTTGGGTGCAAAACATTTGTGCATATTCCAAAAGATGAAAGGTCCAAACTTGATGTGAAAACGCGACAGTGTATATTCCTTGGCTATAGCCAAGATGAGTTTGGGTACAAGCTTTATGATCCAGTTAAGAAGAAAATTGTGAGAAGCAGAGATGTCGTGTTTGTAGAAGATCAGACGATTTAGGATATTGAGAAAGCAGGGAAATCTATGTCTCAACAAGGTGATATTTTGACTGATATGGATCCAGCTCCTCTGAAGAATCTGTCATCTCAGGTTGAGAATGATGGTCAGGATGACCACCAGTGTATAGGTGATGTGGATGTTCCCTTATAGGTTCAGGGAGATGTTGAGACTGATGAGCAGTTGACAGCGCCAGAGATTCCACCAGTGATTCCATCCAGGAAGTCTGTCAGAGACCGACGTCCTTCCACTCGGTATTCAGCAGAGCAGTATGTGTTATTGACTGAAGGGGGAGAGCCCCAGTGTTTTACAGAAGCCATAGAAGATGAACAAAAGACAGAGTGGGTTGAGGCCATGCAAAATGAGATGCAATTATTGCATGATAACTACACATTTGAGTTAGTGAAGCTACCTAAAGGAAAAAAAGTTTTGGAAAACAAGTGGATTTACAGGAAGAAGCAAAATGAGTTATCTTCACGGCTACGGTACAAAGCTAGATTGGTTGTCAAAGGGTTCGGTCAGAGAAAAGGTATTAACTTTGATGAGATCTTCTCTCCAGTCGTAAAGATGTCATTGATCCGTATAGCACTCGGCCTAGCAGCTAGTCTTGACTTGGAAGTTGAGCAAATGGATGTGAAAACTGCATTTCTTCATGGTGATTTGGAGGAAGAGATTTATATGAAGCAGCTAGAGGGTTTCAAAGTGACAGGGAAAGAGAATTATGTGTGCAAGCTAAAGAAAAGCCTATATGGTTTGAAACAAGCACCGAGATAGTGGTATAAGAAGTTTGAGTCTGTTATGGGGGAGCAAGGTTACAAGAAGACAACTTCTGATCACTGTGTATTTGTTAAAAAATTCTCTGATGATGATTTTATTATTCTACTGCTTTATGTGGATGACATGTTGATTGTTGGCAGGAATGTTTCAAGGATTGACCAGTTGAAGAAGCAATTGAGTAAGTCATTTGCTATGAAGGATTTGGGGCCAGCAAAGAAAATTCTTGGCATAAGAATCAGTCGTGATAGGAGTGCCAAGAAGTTATATTTGTCACAGGAGGAGTACATTAAAAAAGTGCTTCAGAGGTTCAATATGGACAACACTAAAGTGGTTAGCTCTCCTCTTACTACCCACTTCAGACTGAGTACAAAGCAATGTCCTTCTACAGATAAGGAAAAGGAAGACATGGAAAAAGTTCCTTACGCCTCAGCAGTATGAAGTTTGATGTATGCAATGATTTGCATAAGACCAATATAGTCCATGCAGTTGGTGTAGTTAGCCGATTCTTGTCAAATCCGGGAAGAGAACATTGGAATGCAATGAAGTGGATCATGAGATATCTTCGAGGCACTTCCAGTTTGAGACTTGGTTTGGGAAATGGACAACCATTGTTAGTTGGCTACACAGATGCAGATATGGCAGGGGATGTGGATACTCGTAGGTCTACTTCGGCTTATTTGATCACTTTTGTAGATGGGGCTGTAGGTTGGCAATCGAGACTTCAGAAGTGTATTACTCTTTCTACGACAGAGGCAGAGTTTATTGCAGCAACGGAAGCGACTAAAGAGTTCCTATGGGCAAAGAAGTTCTTGAGAGAACTTGGTTTCAAGTAGCAGAGGTATATGTTGTTTTGTAAAAGCCAGAGTGCTATTCATCTTGCTAAGAATTCCAGTTTCCATGCAAGATCTAAGCACATTGATGTACGATACCATTGGATCAGAGATGCGTTGAACAATAAGTTACTTGAACTTGAGAAGGTTCACACTGATGATAATGGCTCTGATATGTTGACAAAGACATTACCAAGAGAGAAGCTTGAAGTTTGTTGTTCGATCGCCG